GTAACTACAAATGTACTACAGCATTTGAAACATAAAAAAACCCTTATGGTGAATTACAGTAATAGTTTTCTAAGAATAATTATGTACTGTACGTACAGTAAGAAAGAAATTGGCAAAATTTCACCTGTAGTAAATCAGTCTTGTAACTACAAAACGTACTACAGCTTTTGGAACTTGATCCTGTAGTAAGTCAGTCTTGTAACTACAAACGTACTACAACCTTTGGAACATAAAAAAAAACCTTTTTGTGAATTACAGTAATTGTTTTCTAAGAATAATGACGTACTGTATACACAGTAAGGAAGATACTGGCAAAAATTCAGCTGTAGTAAGTCAGTCTGGTCACTACGAACGTACTGCAACCTTTGGAACAAAAAAAAAAAAACACTTTTGTGAATTTCAGTATTTTTTTCCTAAGAATAATTATGTACTGTATGTACAGTAAGGAAGATATTGGCAAACTTTCACCTGTAGTAAGTCAGTCTTGTAACTACAAACGTACTACAGCCTTTGAAACATAAAAAACCCCTTATGGCGAATTACAGTAATTGTTTTCTAAGAATAATTATGTACTGTATGTACTGTAAGGAAGATATTGGCAAAATTTCATGTGTAGTAAGTCAGTCTACAGTTTGCCCACAAGGCATTTACTATGGCGTTGTAAACCTAATTTGTATTAATTATTGGACTTCGTTTTGTACTAAGAGGTAAATTTGCAGACGGTCCCTAAAGCAGCCTAGGCGAATATCCAGCGAATATCAAACCTAAAACTAACTTTACCGCGCTAGTTTAGTCTGTGTGTGAAGATGCTGCGCAGAGCAAATCCGTGAATGAATGTTCCGAAGTGAAGTAAACTTCAACGGATGTCCCCTGCTTCCCTTGCGCGAGGACTGGAATTGGGAACCGCTGGGCTACATCATGTGTCATTCACCAGTGAGAAAACTTTATAGTACAGTTAGTAAAAGTACTACAATACCATGAAGGAAGATCGGCTTGTTAATGTTTGTCTGCCATTCTCGCTCTGTCTGCACAGCTTGCGTGAACGCGTTGATGACGTATCCTGTCTGCGCGAACAGGGTGCGCAGAGGTATGCAAATACATATGCTGATAGGCAGGTAGATAAGCCAATTAAAATGCTTGGACCGAACGTTTTGATTGGATGAACATTTCTTGGTCCTACGCCTTCCACAGAATATATAAATACAGATAAATACATTTAGACCACTTAACTTAATGATTGCTATCGTGATGTGAAGAGACTTTCAACCAGCATAACAACACATTTTTCTAAAGACAATCACCTATTGCACCTTTAACGGCCCATGTCATCACTGCACTGATAGCACATCATGTACCCAGAGTCAAGACTTCTGATGACAAGATTTTGTATTTCGTTAAACGAATGTTACGACTTAGATAATATGCGGGCAAATATTTTTAAACCCACTGATTAATTTTGGGACCTTTGTGGATTCTGAAACCAGTCTGAATTTGGGGGGAAAATACATTGGATTACCAACTTGTGATTGCATTGCCAAATTGTACAGTATAGCCTACTGAAGAAGTGAATACACACAAACATCATCACTACTCAAATAGCCTGACACCATGCAACATTTTGTGACAAATGGTAGGTCAGACTGAATCATTGTCATAAAAGTTTACAGTCACATAAAAACTCTTAAAGTGTGTTGTCATCTGGTGTTTTATTAATCTAGAGTGCCTTAATGCACTTTACCCTTTTCTGAAATGTAGCACGCACCAATCTAGTATCACCCAGGTCCAACTGAGTCACTGAGAGAACATCTGAATTAAATTTCATTAATTCAGGACTGATATCAACAGTTTTACCTGTATTTTACCTGGAATACCTATTGCATTGAAAATCCTTTTATTTCTAGATTACAAAGTATGAAAGAGCTGAAAAAGAAAACCTATTAAAACTGTAACGGACAACTGCATATTCATTATTTAACATTTATACTGATTATGAGAGTTGAATCAGAGAGGAATTATAAAGTGAATCTCACTAAATCTCGCTGTTAACTACACCCTTAAGCACATACACACTCTGCTATGTAATAAAAGGCTAAAATGTAATAAAACAGACTATTGTAAATTTTGTCATAACAGTCAAGCCTGGTTTACTGGAAATTTAAATGGTCCTGTTGCTAAATCACTAACTCCATTTACTTGAAGTTCAACCTATTTTTTTTTTTACAGATGGCAAATAAAGAACAAGTATTTACAGCCATCGTGCATCTTGTATGTTTTGATTGAGATCTGGTTGACTGTAAAAAAAAATATGATTTGGTTAAATTGCTCAATCAGGAAACTATTTATCTTTCTGTTTCCCAGCAACATGAAACCTGTTTGTATGGGCTCATAAAAGAAAGCCCTTTGTACTGTAATTTATGTATGATGTCTTTTTTCCACTAGGCTACAGAAAAGTTGTCTTCATGAAAATATGAATAAAAGAAGGTTTTGTTTTTTTGTAAGATATACCAGCATGTGCTGCGGTCCATTTTATACTAATGCTGTCAGAACAGATCAATTTACATTTCAGAAAAGATTCAACCCAGACTGACTCAAACTCTGAGTCTTGCCCAGAGGAACTGATGTTTACTCATGTAAAATACTCATCACATTTGACAACATCCAATAACAGAACACGTTTTTTCCTTGTTAGATAAATGGTAAATCACTTATTTTGATCTAACAGATATACCCTTTAGTTGCAACAACAGAATTTGAGTCGAGATTTTATATGACTTGCGAATTTTGCTGCCACCTGGTGGTACATAACAGATAACGATTCAGTAAATAACCATATGGTAGGGATGTTTTTTTACATTTCCTCTTTTGACAGCTATACACTCTAAAAAATCCTGGGTTAAATATAACCCAGCGCTGGGTAAAATATGGACAAACCCAGCTATTGGGTTGTTTTGACCCAGTGGTTGGGCTACTACCCAGAAGGTTGGGTTAAACATTTAACCCAGGGGTAGGCAAGT